TTTTTAAAAATAATTTTGCACTAATTTTGTAGGATCTACTATAAAATATATCGTTCCATTGCATGCAAAACCAAGTGGTCATTTTAGGTTTAACAGGGGGCATTCCCCTTAAGTTAATTTTTTCATATAGTTTTTCCAAGCTTAATGTGGTGTGTGCTTTTGATGCCACGTTTGCGCAGTGGGCAAAAATTCACTTTTACTGTATAAAATTAATAACTTGTCATATAAAAAAGATTTAAGAACCATTTTTCACTGTTTACTACTTTGAAAATTGCGGTTTTAAATGTGAAGTTAGTTTTAATTTTGGGTTGCTATGGATACCTAAATTGCTTCGCAACCAAAGATTTTATTAAATTTAACAAATATAAACTGAAAAAACTTTGGGATACTCCCATAATAACCACATTAAGTACTTTTATACTACAAATGTAGTAGTACTATGGATTTGTTATTTGGTTGGTAGTGAAAAATGCCTGGCAACGATTTATTTTGCGTACTTACTAGCTAAAGTAACTTTTCTTAAAGCATCAATGTTATAAAGTAGAGTAATATTAGACTAATATTAGTCTGATTAAAAATTATTTTAGGCATTTAAAAAATTTAACACATTCCCAATTACTAATTTTAAGTATTTTTATGCAATTCTAGGGTTCTATTTTATATTTCATGAAACTGCTACATACTCCATATAAAAAAGAACTTAAAGCTTAAACCTATTTGTGTATATAATAATATAAAGGATTTGGTTTAAAATTATTTTTTGAAACAAAACTCATATATTCTGATGATTGTAAAAACAGTTTTAGCTTCTTTTTCTTTACCATCTTGGCGCAAACTACAACTATTTGCATATGTATCTTTGTCAAAGATGTTTTATGAAATTAGATTATTATTTGCAGTTAAGTTTATGCCATTTACAACTGAATCCAAAATATTACAACTGAAATTTTGAAATTTTTTAAAATTTTACAACTGAAAAATTTACAACTGTATCCAAAATATTAGAATTAGAAAAGTTCAAGTTTTCTAGTATTATATATGAATAAATATCAATATTTTTCATGTTTTAACTAAATAAAAACATTAATTTTATTTACAAAATCTTATAAATAGGTATTTTAAGTTTGTAACACTAATATATTCTCACTGAGACCAGGGCCGTACCGAACGACAAAGACGTGGGGGAAGGGGAGGGTGAAAATGAAAAAAGCTAATTTTACCGACAAGAACTTTTTTTTTTTTTTTTTTTTTCTTTCAGAAACCAAATTTCCGTTTTAAACGACAGAAACCAAAATTTTTGAGTTTTCCGTCAAAAACCGACAGAATATTGCAAAACTGTGTGTGGGGGGGGGGGGGAGTGTCCAACACCCCATCGTCTGTACGACCCTGACTGAGACCCAATAATTACATAACTATTCAGAATAAAATTCATATAGTATTTTCACCGCATAAAATCGGGTACATCATTTAACTTAAAATCATTATAGATACCATGTGAACAATGTCGGATTATAAACCAAATTTATTTTTTAATATATTTTTCAAACATATTTTTTTTAAATTTGTTATTAAGGTGCTCTAAGAAGATCTATCGGTCTTATGTCAGAGTACCGCGGAAAAGCATTTACCAATTTCACTTATCCGGTCGAATCTGGCATCGAACTTCGAACCTCTTGGTTCTGAGCCAGAACTCTAAACACCGCGTCACAGCTGTTAAAACACAGCAGAACCAAGAACCTACGGGTCTTTCTGGAAAAACTATAAAAAAAATGAATAAATAACACTGTAGAAACTTAATATTAAAGAGATTAACAGTACCGATTCTCGATTCTTGATTCTATCGAGTAACAATTGCATAGATTCTCGAGTATTGTATTGTATTCAATTATAATAACTTATTATCAATTGATTATAATTGAATTGTATTGATTCTTGAGACATTTTTTATTTATTTTCATAACTATTATTTTAACTCTTATTTTCTTTTAATTTTAGTTTACTGACGTTTATATTTATAATAACTTTTTTTTATTATTACTATTATTTTTTTAATAAAATGAATTTTTAAATTTCAAAGCATTTTTTTTAACGTAACTAGAAACTAATGGATACTTGACTTTCTGGTTTAATGTTAAAAAAAGCAGAAAACTAAAAAAAAAAAAAAAAAACTCAAAAATAAAAAAACGGCTTTTAAACTTAAAAGTTAAAATAATAATTTTAAAAACAGATTCAAAAAATAAACAAACATGCAATAATAAAATTTAGTAAAAATAAATATTGAATTTTATAAGTTATATTCATTTTACAATTCTTTTATATAAAGTTAGAATTAAATTTTAATAAATAGAAAATTACTTATTGTTGCTAACTTTCCGTGTCCGTGCGTAAATAAAAGAATTAGCAAAATGAAACTTTAATTAAAAATTATTTTATAGAGGTTGAATATTGAATTTTTAAAATGTTAACTAATATCACATGTTTAAAATATTAATTGATATCACACGTTTAAAATATTAATTTATATCACATGTTTGAAACATTTTAAAAGTGGGTAAACTTTTTTATTTTATTACGAATCTATTGTTTTTGATATATTGAAATTACAGTTAGATAATATTGTATTTTTTATTATCGTATTTAGAACACTGTTAAAACTATATTAATAAGTATAATAAATAAAAATAATAAATAATACAACAATAAATAATAGCATAATTAAGAGTGTAATAGTGCAGTAAACGCAAGTCATGCCATGCGCTAGAAATGCATGCATAGCAAGGCATGTTTTAGACATATGCAAAAAGAAACATCTATTCAAACTTTAATTCATCGAATTACTTACATTTTCACTTAATATTCAACATATTTTTTTAAACTGAATTTCAAATAACTTAAAAGCTCAGAAACATATTTTACATCTTTTTATTTATTTTGAAAATAAGATGATATAGTTATATAAATTGACGAGCTGAAAACTTGAAAATAATTTTTGTTAATTATGAGTTAATCAAAAAGCAAAATAAAATTAAAAATTTTTTTTTCTCATGTTTAACATCAGCAAAAAACTATGTAGAAAAAGTACAGAAAAAAAAACCACAGAAAAAAAGTGAAAAGTATAAAAACCATGACACAGTTTTAACTGTGGCTTTTTAAAGTTTTGCTTTAGACGTTTAAAAAATATATAAAAAAAAAAAAAAAATAAAAACATGAATTATAATAATAATAGTAATTGAAACAAAATTCGATTCATTTTGAATAAATCTTTTTATAGCTGCTACTGCTTAAAGCTTTGCACTTTTTAAATACAATGTGCAATGAAACATTTATGTTCTTAAACAAGCTAAAAACTTGATACACAGTTGGATTTAAATACACCACAGTTTGATCAAGGGAGTGACAATTGTATGGGTATATATATAGAGACTCGTCAATCAGATTTCTGATCCTCGTTCAGTGGGGTGCTGACGTTGATTTAAGCTGAAGGGTTATTTTTTAAAAATAAACATTTTGCATATTTTCAACATAAAAGTTTGTATAAATTAAATAGCTATGTAGAAAAATTATGCATCAATTATTTGAAAATTAATTGACAAATACAGGTCGAATAAAAGAGTTGTAATTTTTTATTTGTGTTAAACATCAAGTCAACGGATTTCAAGTTTCTCATGTCACTTAGTAAAACGTGTTTCTGTTGGGCCTTATTAGGCAATAATATTGAAAAAAATGAAAAGAATTTTTTTGCCTTAATTAAATTATACGGATTACTTCTGACGAATAAAAACAAAATTAAAAAAATCCAAACCGTAAAATTATTTTAAACTGACGTTTTTATTTGTTTTTAAGAAGTAATGCGTTAATAATTTAGAGTCTATCAAACGGAGTCTGACCTTGTTTAATCTGCCATCTTAGCATTGGAATATTTAGGATAAAAAAAATTAGACGCTAAACGTTATCTGTCTGTATCAATAATAAATTGAAAAATAAACTTTGATGAGAAAAGAATGATAATTTCTGTTGAAGTCAATGATTTTTTAAATCTTGTAAAAAGTTCTTGATTATTTTACACAAAACAATTAAAGTCAACAACATAATATTTGGTCGCAATATTTCATAAATTATTTCTTAACACAATGGTTTGAAGATGTCAATAATGCTATAATAGTGTTTTGCTATAATATGCGTTTTTACACAACTTTAAATCACGAGAGAATTAGATTGAATATGCATAGACTGTATACTACAAGGTATACAGTCTGGATACTGTTTGGTGCCAGTTTTTTGAGAAATATCAATAATAAAAATCAAAAAAAAATTATTTTTTTTTGCTATTAATTTAAACTCTTTTTTATAAAAATTTTAGAAAATTTCAAATGTGTAAAACATCAAAACGAACATTTTTTTGGTATTGAGGAGATAAGACATTGCTTAGTAAAGGAATAGTTTTAATTTTGTAAAAATAACTACACGCTTATAAAATGACAGGGGGTAAGTAACATGAACTCAGAATACCTTAGTGCAAAAAGGTACACACAAATTAAGAGCAATATTACAAAAAACAAGAGAGAAAAACTGTAAAATTAATTTGCATACTTTTAGACCACACTTGACCATGATGACTTACAAAGAAATTTCCCCTTTTTTACTAACCCTTGCTTGTTTATTCTTTACAGCAAGCGGAGATTAATTGAAACAAGAATTCAAATTTAAAAGATATCCTAATAAGATTTTTTTTTTTGAGTATCAAAATTTAAAGCTAATTTTATTGTCTTACATTTAGACAGTTACAATAGTCACAATGTTTGGAAGGAAGGGTGATGAGAACATTTTGCATTGACCTTTTTATTTTAGATGTTTTAGTTTAGCTAATAGGTTTAGTTTAACTTATAAGCAGTTTTTTTTTATCTCTCTTTATTTTATATACATTTTAGCTCCTAACATTGTGAAATGCTTTGGGTTGTAAATGCAAAAGAAAAACTTGGAATTTATTTAATAGTTATAAATAAGATAAATAAAATTTTCCAAATAATTTATTTACAAAGTGTTTAAAAAAACAACAAACAAAAATAACATAAGCTAGTTACAGTAGTTTCTCTGATATGTACATAGTTCATTTATAATTTTTTGAAGATTTAAATAAAAGGTAAATTTTATTGTGTCACATATTTACGTCAACAACGCAAATCATAACAAAAATCGCCTTGAGTAATTTATCTCTGTTTTGGTTATTTGTAGTTTCAATCTCCTTTTAATGCGGAGAAACAACTTTTTTTATTTTTTTTAAAAGAAAAATCATATGACGAATAAACTTAAAAAGGTTTCTATATTTTTGAGGACTCAACTCCCGCCTTTTAAAACAACATTGTCAATTGAAAAGTTTGATTTGAGTATACTCGACATCATAAAGTTTGATCTTTGCTTAACTGGTTTCAAGGTGTCATTGAGTGGAGGATAACTTTTACATTCTCCACGTATGTCAGAAACGCCTGTTTCTGATATGATTTCGTTTTCGTTATCTGAAATGTCAAGTATATTATCTAACGAATCTTCGTCGTCATCGTGAACTGCGTTAAAATACTCGGGTTGACGTTGCTGAGTGCTAAAGTAAAATAATTTTTTATCTTAAATTAATAAAAATTGGTAAAAATGTTAATTATTAAAAATATTAATTAACAAAAAAAAAAAAAAAAAAATCATAATTAAAATTAAATTAATCAAAAGATAATTAAGTTAAACTTCATATTGCCTACTTATTTTTTGCCGCAGCAGCTCGATCTCTTTGACGTCTATTTTTAAACCAGTTACCAACTTGCGTGGGTGTCAAATGAGTTAGATCGGCTAGTTCACGTTTTTTGGAAGGACTTGGGTATGGATCTTCTAAATAAAATTCTCTTAAGTGTTTTCTAGTGCGTTCTTTAAAGCAATGAGTTTTTTGTTCTCCGTCCCAAATTGTTCGCGGTAAAGGAAATCGCTTTCTAACACGATACTTATCAACAGGTCCAAGAGGTCTACCTCTTAATTGTTCGGCTTCTATATAATGTGCTTCAAGCCATATTGCTTGCATTTTACTGTGAAATTTTTTGCCAAATCTAAAATGCTCTAGTATAAAATAAAGTTCTTCGAAATGGCGGTTATGAAATGCTACCATGGATCTTGAGCGAAGAATTGTCTCATTGTTGTTAATTAAGTTCCTTATGTAAGGTGTATTAGGCAATGACCACAAAAATCTGGACAAACGCTCAATATCTCCACATTCTTCAAGTGTTTCGCACACTTTAATAATTTGTTCTGAAGAAAATGGCATATGAGTTGAACATGTAGCATTTGAATACAAATTTCGGTCTGTGTAAGACAGAGGAGAAGTTATAAAAGCAGGATGCTTTGGTTCTGATGTTGAATACGACGACAAACAAACTATAGGTGATGTCATTAACATATTGGAGTTGAATCGTTTGTGTTTTTCTCCAAACGAATCTGAAATTAATACAAAACAGTTAAAGTTAATAATTTTTTGACCATCTGATTTCAAAATATAAAAAATTTAAACTGTATGTCTGAACTACAATATATATATATATATATATATATATATATATATATATATATATATATATATATATATATATATATATATATATATATATATATATATATATATATATATATATATATAAATGTATGTATATATAATTCGTTCTTTGTAAAAACTTTGTAGAATCTAGAGGATAAGCAAAACTATGGAAACAATATGTTATGTCATCAGAGTAGAATTAAACTCCAACTTTTAAAATTACACAAGAAAAAAAAACAACAAAAGGTTGAACCGATTACAATCTTGTGTTGTCAAATATAGAATAGCAGGTCAGAACATAAACAATTAACGTAGAGATCAGAATCTATGCTTTTTAAAAGGTTGAAATTGAGGCAATTTAACCAATTAATCAGATTTAGATTTAAGACCTGAAAAAAGTTTTGAGAATCTATCAAATGCGTGAAGCTGTACAATTGTTAAATTTAGAACACAAAAAACGACATATTAAAATAAAAAATTAAAAAAATTTAAGAAAGTCTTTATTGAAAATTTAATAGTAACAATGATAGAAATGTGTATGATATAAATTGATTTAAAAGCGATATAAATATCTATTACACTAATAATAATGACATGTAAATAATTCCCTTTTTTCTTCAAGATGACGAGTATAATAATGACAAGACAATGAAATAATCAGCTATATCATATGAGAGAAGATCAATTGTTACGACGCTAAAAGTATCATGACCGCAAGTAATTAAAAGACATATTGCAATTAATTATTCTGAGTATATCAAGTAATAATAAAAAAAAAAACAAGCAAACATTTTAATTTAAACAATTTAACTAAAATAAAATAATTTTTTTTTTTTTGGTTTTGCTTGAATTGTGTCTAAAAATTTTTTACAAACAAATTACAAGTTTTTGCGAGTGGCTTATCTGGGGGGAGATAGCTGGAAAGGGAAGAAATAAAAATGAAAATTAAACTTTACAAATGTCTCAAATTTTTTTTAATTTTTGAAATGCTTTGGGGATAATACCAAAAATAAAACAAACTTGTAATTTTTTTAGACTCCATTTCTGGCTTAAGTTTGTATTTTTTAAATTTAAACACACACTCAAAATTAGTTTTGCAAGTTAATGGAAACTCAAAAGTTAGTACCAAGTTTGACCTTAGGTTAATTTGGGGCAAACTCTTGTATAAAAAAAAGCTACAAACAAACACACAATTTCATAAAAACAGCGCACTGCGTTTTAAACGTATAGGTCCAACAAGATCTCAACAAAAAAACGCCCTGTTTAATTTTTTTACTTTTGTTGAAGTTTAAAAAAACTTTTGTTTTGTATGAGGTATACATAAGTTTTCTCTTACGCCTTATTTTCTTTAAAAATGTGTATTGGCTCTGATAATGTTTTTTTGTTCTTGTTGTTGTTGCTGTTAGTTGTAGTGTTTGTTTTTTTTTTGTTGTTATTTTTTACTTCTATAGAAAATAATTTATTTAGGAGATTGTAAATTTGCTCAATATTTATTTTGTTAAGTAAAATCTAATGTTGGA